ATAGTCGTCGCTAGACATGAGTCGCGTGCCTAGCGACGGCGAACGCAAACGCGCGCGGCGCGCTTTGCAGGGCGGTCCTATCCAGCCGCGCGCTTGCATTTGACAATGGGCCGGGCGAATTTAAATATTTTTATAAATTAATATCTCGTTAACTATTACTGCAATCGCAAAATGGTACAGGACTTTTCGACTCAGTATAGTCTGTTCTACCCACTCATAAAATATTATGCGGTTATTCTCAGCCACCCTGTATATAAAGTTATTAAATATTTACAAAAGATCTATCCTTTGTCCTCTTTCACTCTCTCTCTCTCTCTTGAAGAGTATATAATATAGATATATCACATTATTTCTTTTTTTCCCGTCTGCTTATAAGAATTTGTATTATATAAACAGTTTGCTATCTCATCTTAAGCTTTATACGTCTTATACATATACCTTAAAACTTTATACATGCTTAGAGTAGCCTTTTTTGTAGAATATAAAATACACAGGCGAGGAAAAAGGCAAATGCCAATGCGAGCAGCGCTTTATCAGTGACTTCTCGTCTACCATATTTCCCTAATAGTTTTCCTGATTGTACTATAGCTTGTTGCTGATGCTCCAATTCGTCCTTAGTATTGCCGACCTTGTCTGAAGACGTTACTGGAACAATAACACAAAAAAATTTGTTAAAAATATAATTTATAGTTATCTCTATTATCTGTTTATCCTCTAGCGTTAAAATTCAGCGCAATGCAATCTATTTTAATAATAATAATCAATTAAAAAATGTTTATGTTCCGAGAGATTTCATAGATTACATTCTTTACAGGATGCTATTATGTACAATCAGTTATTCTTACTTAACAATGATGACAAATGAAAATGACTTTAAGAGAGATTAATGTGAATAACATATACATAAAATATTTATAAAACCCCACCGTTTATATCCTCTTTTTATTCTTAAAGAGTACATATAATGTTAATCCATAGAATAACATCCCAGATAACAAAATGCTCGCATAGTGATATCATAGTGCGTGCACGTCATAAAAAAATAAAAAAATATTAAGCAATAAAAAATATTAAGCAATATTAGGAAATAACTTATCAAGTGGAATTATAACAGAAAAGATAAAGATATGTATGTACGTAGGTTAAAAATGTGTTAACCTGTACTTCATCGAGCATACAAGTGTTATGAATAAAACTAAAACATGTGCGTTTTGGAAAATACGATTAACAATCGAGGATGTTTAGCTTTGTTAATTTTATTTGTAGATATTGTAATTGCAAGAAAAGAATCGAGCGTGCTTGGGTCTACTCGGAACAGACCTCGAGAAACAGAACAAACAATGCTAATGTGAACGTTGAATTAATTGATTTCTCTGATTTTCTTGATTAATTGATTTTTCTTTTCTTGCATCGTTTTGAATAACCTTTCCATCAATGAATGAAAAATTGAACATTTAGGATATTATTTTACATATATTACTTAATTATTTATAAAGAGAATGTTTAATTTTTCATTCATCGATAAAAGCATCCGAAACGATGCACACTCTTTCGTCTATTACATATATTATATATACAGGGTCATCGAAAAGTATCGGACCCCCCTAATATCTTCAGTTAGAATGCATTTTGGAGAAAAATGTTCAATAGCAAAGTTGTATGGTTTCAAGCGAAGAATAAGATGATGACCTTGACTTTGATCTTGACCATGTCCTTTAAGGTCATTTCAAGGTCAACCTTATTTTTTTAAATGGAACCCCCTACATTTTATTACATACTTTTATAGCTTATCTCGAGAACTTTCCAAAACACTATAATAAAACATTTTTTCATTAAGTATTTTTTGAGTTATAAAGGTTTGAAGTTAACAATTTGTTAAGTGGCGTGTGATTCCGGCCAGTTAAGGCAAGAGTGGCGTGTGATTCCGGCCAGTTAAGGCAAGAGTGGCGTGTGATTCCGGCCAGTTACCTTCGGGCAGTTTTCCGCCATAACCTACTAGCATAACCGCTTGAAGCCGTACAACTTTGCTATTGAACAATTTTTTTTCCAAAATGCATTCTTACTGAAAATATTAGGGGGATCCGACACTTTTTGATTAATGTATTTTCTTTAAACCAATTAATTGGTCTCATTATTCCGCGCATAAAAGTATTAAGGTTATGATTATTGAAAACTAAATAATATTTTACAAGGTATTTTACATTTCGTGTCAAAAGATTGTTGACTTCAAACCTTTATAACTCAAAAAGTACTTAATGAAAAAATGTTTTATTATAGTGTTTTGGAAAGCTCTTGAGATAAGCTATAAAAATATGTAATAAAATGTAGGGGGTTCCATTCAAAAAAATAAGATTGACCTTGAAATGACCTTAAAGGACATGGTCAAGATCAAAGTCAAGGTCATCATCTTATTCTTCGCTTGAAACCATACAACTTTGCTATTGAACATTTTTCTCCAAAATGCATTCTAACTGAAGATATTAGGGGGGTCCGATACTTTTCGATGACCCTGTATATGTATATATATATAGATATGATGATATATTTTTCAATTTAACAAAAGGATGGATAAATTAAATAAACATTAAAAAAATGTAATTTTGAAATTAAAACACTTAGCAATACTTATTTATCATTTTCTACACTCTACGAACTTGACAGTCACGGATAGAATCACGACAGGAATAACAAAAATAATAACGGAATATAAATTTTAGTAGGTGTACATGGACGTAAAGAATAAAATACTCCTGCTATTATATCTTTATCGTTAAACCAAGAATATATAGCGCGCTGAAAGAGGAGGCGGAGCAACGACTCGTTACCGCATGCGCAGAACACTAACAGAGACTGGCCATCAGGGGGCCACTTTTGATTGGTCCGCCATTTCCTAGCGATTCCCGCTCGTATTGAAATTTCAATTACTGCATTTACTTGGAATGTAAATAGTATGTAATGATAAATATTATAGAAATATTAAAACCGTGCTTTTTACATCAATATATATAATATACGTTAAATAAAAAAAAACATGTCAAGTTTTATCGTCAGTTATATACATCTTTATCTTTAAATAACTTTGTTATAATAGCTGTTTTTGACACTTATGATTTAATTTTTGACTTTGTTATTAAATTTTAAACATTGACTCCTATATTGTCTTCGTTCTTTTTGTTTATACGTTAAATAATTTCTATATTTGATATTCTCTCTTTCTTAATTCTATTAAATCTTTTTCAAATAAAATTAAAGTAAGGTTAGGAAATCAGTGACAAAAGTACAAACACTTAACATTTGTAAAATTTATTTAAAAAAGGTGTGTACCAACGATTTACTGTCATATCTTCTATTAATATTAGGATTTTTCTTACTTAATGTTCTTAATTTGAATACGACAAACTTTCTAATAATTTTAGGAAACAATTGATAATTTAAAACATGTTTAGCCGTAACCTGACTAAAGACAGATATTAAATAATTTTTCTAGAATTGTGCAGTGCAACCACTCATTTTTATTGTTATTATTTTATACTGAGCAAAAACCACGAACATAACCTTGAATCAACTCAAATCAACTTGAATAAACGATCACATACGAACGCACATATTCGTGTGAGTGAAATGGCCTATATTTCTCTCTCACTTGTAGGATTTCGCTAGGAAATGCCGGACTCGCCTGATGGCCAGTCTCTGTTAGAGGGTCTCTAGGTCAAAAAAACGTCCACGGTTATTCATACAATGCGCAGTGGCATTGCACATTATATGAAAGTTTGCACATGCGCGCATCGGTTATAACCAAGAAGTTGTTGTTCTTAACCTTTGTTTTCCCCTCATCCGAGGGACACACTTAAAAAAAAAATCTTCTTAAACCATCTTAAACAGAATGTAAGTTGTAAAAAGAAATTATACTGCACATTAAATGCACATGTCAAACAAGGTTTGTTTGACATGCGCAGGCACGAATTGAAAACGACTATCAGAGCGACAGAGAGGACTAATGAAGCGCAAGAGTGGGGGAAGTTATCCGCCGTCCCTTTTTGGCCTACCCCCACTACCGATATTTGACCGAGTTTACTCTCCTGGTTCTAGTCTTCTTGGTTAAACCGTTAAAGCTTGCTCTTGGCCTTGCACCAGGAAGTAAGATATAAGGAGACTCCACTCCGTAAAATAAAAGTGGACCCATTTTAGGTTTCGAGTTCAGCTTCCGATTCTGATGAGTGCGAGTAAGAGAAATGATCATTTCTCTTACTCGCACTCATTATGCGCAGCACTACTAAATTCACGAGCGCTGCGAGTGTCGAGAATCGGAAACGGAACTCGAAACCTAAAATGGGTTCATGTCTTGTAGACTGGCGAGACCGAGTGGAGTCTCCTTATATCTTCCTTCATGGTTTATTGTAAAATCTCTCTACATCCAGGAAGTAAGATATAAGGAGACTCCACTCCGTAAAATAAAAGTGGACCCATTTTAGGTTTCGAGTTCAGCTTCCGATTCTGATGAGTGCGAGCAAGAGAAATGATCATTTCTCTTACTCGCACTCATTATGCGCAGCACTACTAAATTCACGAGCGCTGCGAGTGTCGAGAATCGGAAACGGAACTCGAAACCTAAAACGGGTTCATGTCTTGTAGACTGGCGAGACCGAGTGGAGTCTCCTTATATCTTCCTTCATGCCTTGCACGCAGATATAGACTTCGAAACTTCGAAATATTGTATCTATAATTCGATTTCGACGCATAGGTATTTCTCTTGTGAATAAAAAGAAGAGTTTCGAGAATTCGATTGATTCCGTCTAATTCTATAATGTGTTCTTTCTTTCCTGTTTGTTGCTGTTTGTCCCTTGTTCACTCTTGCCTTTTTGATCAAACAGCAAGAAACGGTAAACAAAGAGCACATTGTAGAATTACCATAACGGTTATACACAAACGAATGAAACAAATACAACAGTAACTGTATGCTGTTATAAAAAAAAATGACGTGTTTCTTTGTCTGAACATAGATATGACGAAAACTGAGAACAAAATGGACGAATACGACAAAAAGTTTGTAAAGTTGCAAAAGTACATTCCACTCCTGGAAGTAATTATCGTGAGGCTGCTCAATATACATGCTAAGGACAAATACAATTCAAGTGAAGTTCAACTAAAGAAAGTGCTACATCTGCACGGAATTCTGTCGAACAGCAAGCAAAAGTACGTTGAACAAAAATTCATATTATAATGGATTACTTTACATATAAGGGTGCAGTCACATGTAGTCAGAAATAGCGGAACGGAACAACGGAAAAGGCAAATGGAAGGGGAGCCCATGGCACATAGAAAAACGTAAAGGTTGATTTATACTGGCCGTAATCTGTTAACATATGCCGTAATCTGTAAAAATTGACCAATCACAGTCGAATGAGAGGGGAATTATCAATTATAATTGGTCAATTTTTACAGATTACGGCATAAGTTAACAGTTTACGGCCAGTATAAATCAACCTTAAGGCCGTAAAACGTAATCAGTAAGGAAATCGTAACATTGGATTCGCTACCGGCCTTACGGTATCTACTGTGATTGGCCTGCAATTCGCTTACTGATTACGTTTTACGGCCTTACGTTTTTCTATGTGCCATGGGCTTAACTCAGTATCTGAGAATGGATTGAAATGGATTAAAATGGATTCAAATTTTCAGAAATATGGATTCATGAATATTAAAATGAATCCTTTTCAATCCGAATACGTTTTTATTCATTTATAGGAATTGCATGGAGCATATCTGTATACTTTTCAATCATAATAATATTAGCTTTTTCAGTGCGTTTGTGACCATAGTGAATACTGTTCAATTCATAATTTTGAATAGGAAACGCTGTTTTTCAATCCAATTGTATCCAATTGCATCTAATTGAATCCAAAAAAAAGTTTTCGCTGTTTAAAATACGTATGAATTCGAATAGACAAAATCCAATCCATTTTAATCCATTCTCGGATACTGAACCAATCAGAGCAATTCCGTTACGTTATTTTGTAACTGGGTTTCACATAATGAGAAAAATATTGACGGAACGGAACGAACGAAATAACTTCAATGAGCTTATCACAGCAGTCCGTCAGCATGGTAAAGTATTTATTGTAGTATATATGTAAAATATTGGAGATATTTTAACAATTAATACACATGTATATATATATATATATATATATGTGTGTTATTAGGAACAATTAAAATGTAGTTATTGTGTAGTTATTGTTATATATATATATATATTTATACATAAATATAATAATAATATTAATTTATTTGTAATTTGGCATTCTTTCAAGCACCAACCACAATAACTACATTTTAATTGTTCCTAATAACAAATATATATACATATATGTATTAATTGTTAAAATATCTCCAATATTTTGCATATATACTACAATAAATACTTTACCATGCTGACGGACTGCTGTGATAAGTTCATTGAGGTCATTTCGTTCGTTCCGTTCCGTCAATATTTTTCTCATCATGTGAAACCCAGTTACGAAATAACGTAACGGAATTGCTCTGACTGGTTAACCCCTTCTATTTGCCTTTTCCGTTGTTGTTACTTTCCGCTGCATGGGTTTGCACCCGTACTGACTCCATGTGACTGCACCCTAAGAAACGTAATCAACTGACCTTCTCCGATTTTAATTAACTTTTATATGGATATGTTAAAATATAGACAATAATGAGAGATACGTGTTTTTTTATACATGCTAAATTTATACATTGTGGGAGTAAAAATCTTAAAAAAAATTTGTTTCCTTTTTGCTTTTAGAGTGAATATTGTTGAAACTGTGCGAGATAAAAACAAATATTTTAAATAGAAGTTTGACTTTAAAAATACTTTATAATAATTATAAAAAATTTGTTTAAACAAAATAACTTTAAAAAAAATTTATAATACAATAAAAACAAATTTTTTATCATTATTATATAATATTTCTCTTGAAGCCATTTGAGTTTTATTAAAATTTTTAAGTTTTATTTTTTTTCTTTCTTTTGTAATTTCGACAATATTTACTCTAAAAAAAAAATTAATTTTTTAAGGGAAATTTTCCTCCTTTTAACGTATACGATTCAACACATATAAAAAAAACGTATCTTTTATTTTTGTCTACGTTTTAACATATCAAAAATTAATTAAAATTGGAAGAAGTCGGTTGGTTTTATTCTCTTTTAAATTATATACCCGATCGTATGAATTCATTGATAAAAAATGTGTGATACATTAAAAATATATTGTTACAACTATTTGATTATTAATTACAATATTATTGACGAAATAGATTGAAGATTGAGACGCTGCAGAAATACGAGGATATTTTACAAAAACTGCACAATAAAGTAGAAACTGCAGTACTATGAAGTAGATATGCTGACAAATGTATTATTTCATTACTCATGAAAATTGATTCCTGTTAAAATGTTGTCTACTGAATAAATTTGTGAAACTACAGAATGTCTTAAACATTTTTAAACAATATTTTGCTAGAAATGTTTGTATTATGTATACTTATTAATAAAATTAATTCTTCTAATAATAATAATGGTTTGAAAAAATTTTTTGCTATACCGTTTGTCAATTCTATCTCTGATAAATTTAAACCTATTGCCAACATTTTTACTTGCAAACTGGCGTATACAATACCTAATACACTAAAAAACTTCATAAAAAGAGGCAAGGATAAATTAGAATACACACACAACCAAAATGTGGTACATAAAATTTCCTGTGACAACTGTGATGCAAGTTATGTTGGCCAGACCAAGAGACAATTGAAAACAAGAATACATGAACATTCTTCGGATATTAATAAAACTTCTAAATCTCCATCCGTAATATCTAATCATAGAATAGAAAAAAATCATGATTTTAATTGGAGTAAAGTTGAAATTTTAGATATGGAACCGTCTTATAAGAAAAGATTGATATCCGAAATGGTTCATATAAAGAAACAAACACATGGCATAAATAAACAAAATGATACCGAGTCATTGCCAGATTGTTATACTAACATGATACATTCTCTTTCCACCTCTTAATTTTTCCCTTCCTCTGTCCTTTCCTGAGGTCTCTGCCTACTCATTTCTTATTTTTATTTCAAGTAGTATAGTCGATTTTTATAACTGTAAATTAGACTATTTTATTTATTTATTTAATTTCAATAATGGATCTAAACATACTGGATTTTTATACTGGACTATACATTTTTTATTACATTTCTGTTAAGGTAATATATACAATTTACTTCTTCATAATTAAGTTTTTAAATTTATATACTTTTTTGTTAATAGATTTATATAACTCATGCGAAACTAATCACAAAGGAAGATCCATATTCAATTATACACATTTAATTTTATATTTGCGACTCGTTAATTATTCAATTATACACATTTAATTTTATATTTGTGACTCGTTAATTTATTATAATTATACACATGTAATTTATTATTGTTGATTCGTTAATTCTATTATACACAATTAATTTTAAATTTAACATTGAAAATGACCCGATCGGTGTCGAAACGTATGTGCGAATTCTTACTTGCGAATTTTACTCTGTTTGTTTAATGTATTGCGATTTTGAGTTAATTACATTTATATATCTTATTTAAAAAATTATTGACTCTTTTCTCTTATTTTTAATCAATTTGTTTTATACTTGTTGAGCCTTCTATTAATTTATTTTATGTGTACTTATGTCTTGGGTTTTTAGAAAAGTGAACATTAGAGCACTTTGCTCACCCGTATTTTATTCTTGCTGTTTTGTCTTGTTTTGTATTGTTATTTATATTCTACTTTTTTGTGTATGTGTTACTATTTATTTGTATTGCTCGAAACAGTTATAATAGGTCGTTTGTTTTAAAATGTTTTTGAACAAATTCAACTTTATTTTTGTCAAAAAAGATTGAGAAGATGTTTGTCAAAGACTAAAATCACATGAATAAATTAAAAACAAATATGACAGGTAATGTGAGTCAACCGCTGGTTACAATTTGCGAATAATTTAATAGTACATTGTGTAACAAGTATGTTTTAGCTATAAACATACTATCCCCCCCTGTTGCACAATGTACTATTACAAAGCTAATCAACCTTTATTTCGATGACATTTATAAATTTGTTTCTCGTACGTTTCGACTCTTGTTTTGAGTAATCTTCAGCGAATCATTGGAATAAAATATAAGGTTTTACATCTTCTAAAGTTTTACTCCTACAATTGTAGACGCAACGATCGTGAGACGAGCCTCATACTCAGTTAGTTAGTATGCTAATGGTGATGAAAAACTCAAGCTAAAAAATTGTTGAATTCTTAATTAAACTGAATATAATAATAATTTGATTTAGATATTTGACTCCACCACTATTGGCGATGCAAAGATCTCTCTGCGCGCTCCTAGTGGCGGCCGGTAGAAGCTTCGCTAGTCAGACACCTTATACGTGCTTATATAATGGAAAATAATAAAGTAAAATCAAAAAGAAATACTACATAATGTTTTTATTAACAAAAAAAAAATAATTTTTTTTTTTAAGTGATGAAAACTGATCCCCTTCTATTTATAATTATGGCATTGTGCCACAAAACATTATGTAGTATTTCTTTTTGATTTTACTTTATTATTTTCCATTATAGCACGTATAAAGGTACTTTTTCATGCGCAGCACGCTGCAGCAGCAATTCGTTACTATTGGTTAAGAATTTTATGTAAGCTAGATGACGCACTTCCGGCGCAAAATACATTTTGCCGCAGTTCGTTGAAGTTGAACCGAACGAACAGCAAGCAGCAAGCGGCAAAATCGAGACAATATTATTTATTGCAATAAATATTAGGAAAATTAACGAAGAATGGCTTCGGATAAGGTACGAATGTTTGTAAATTAGATTATTTTATACTTTACACTTTACTTTTTCAAATTTGTGGTAAAGTATAAAATGATCTAATTTACAAACATGTATCCGTACCTTATCCGAAGCCATTTTTCGTTTATTTTCCTAATATTTATTGCAATAAATAATATTTTCATAATGAAACGACGGACATATTGTACGCTTTCTCGATTTTGCCGCTTGCTGCTTGCTGTTCATTCGGTTCAACTTCAACGAACTGCGGCAAAATATATTTTGCGCCGGAAGTGCGTCATCTAGCTTACATAAAATTCTTAACCAATAGTAACGAATTGCTACTGCAGCGTGCTGCGCATGAAAAAGCATCTTAAGGTGTCTGACTAGCGAAGCTTCTACCGGCCGCCACTAGGAGCGCGCAGAGAGATCTTTGCATCGCCAATTGCGTCCTAACAAATATCACAAACATCATAATCGTCAATTAATAAAATAGTCAATAAAGTATAATATAAAATGAGAGCACATAAAACGAAACTCTGATGTCTGAGATCGGTTACTTATTAAATTCGAAATACAAAATAATGTCGGTCAAACTTAAAACTAGTGTAGTTGTTTTGACATGTATTATATCTGTTATACCAATGTATATTTGTGTGTATATCTATAATGTCGTCATTAACATATATTGTATGCGCGCGCTACATTTTATTAAGGCTGCGGTCGAGTTGCCACTACGAATGCTTTGAAGCGTTTGATTGACCAATCATGCCTACAGACCAGAGCGACGCAGCGGTGAAGCGGCGAGCGATAGCCAATGAGAGCCATGATTTTGCGTAAAAGCACGGCTCTCATTGGCTATCGCTCGCCGCTTCACCGCTACGCCGCTCTGGTCTGTAGGCTCCTTAAGGATGTTGATGATTTAACTTAGCCATGTCTTGTTGTAAATTTAACCTATTCGACTGTCGATTAATCTGAATCATCTCCGATATCAAGCGTTTATTGTAAAATCTCTCTACATCCAAGGCATAATGCCTAGTTCACTGGATGCGATGGGCGATGAACGACGAGCGATAACCAATAAAAGCTTTGCTTTAGCTCACACAACGATGTAAAGAAGAGTTCTTATTGGTTATCGCTCATCGCGCATCGCTCATCGCGCCTAGTGTGAACTAGGCATTACGGCCTTACGTTTTTCTATGTGTTTCTGGCTTTAATTCGACCAAATTCGTTATTAACTTAACCTTAACGTCGAAATCATTTTTGTCATATCTGAAGGTTGTGACGAGCCTGTTACAAACGTTTCAATTTTCTGTTTGTGGAATGGTATGAAATTTATTTTCTTGATTTGTATGATCGTGCATAGAGCATGTGCTTTGGAGTTTCTGTCAAATAATTGACGCTAAAATAATTCACGTAAGTATTGTTTGCTATGCGAACAAATATCGTCCTCAGTAAATTTATTCGTTAAATAATATCGTTTTTCAGGGGGAATAACGTGAACTGTATCAATACATTTATTGTCAGAGCTTCGTGAACAGTTTATAGTACTTTCTTTATAAAGACTAACAACAATTACTCAAGTAGTATTGCAAGTTGATAAAGTTCTAATAATGAATATGACAAAAAAGATAAATGTTAACTTTTCATCCCTAGTGGGTCTTAAAGCAGAACTGTTGAGAAAGCAAGCTGAAGTAAACGAAGCCAAGTTGAAAACTGAGTCTATTAATGCATCACCATTGTTAAACAAGAAAAAAAACAAGAAGATTGTTGCAGATAATGTAGAAGAAAATACCAAGAGATCATTGGATTCGGAAGATATTGTTGCTCACAAAAAGTCAAAATTAATGTTGGAAGCCAAAGCGAGATTGTACCAAAAATTGAAGAAATCCAAAAATAATAATGATAAATTTCTTGTTGATTTTGAGAATAAATTAGATGAGCCTGACGAAACATTCATAGATGAAACAATTGATAAGGAATATCCCACAGAGCCAGAGGAAAATTGGGTAGAGTATCAGGATTGTTTTGGCCGCACGAGGAAATGTTTACGGGAGGATTTACCGCACATGCAAAAGAAGGATGAATTGATAAAGCATGAAATAATGAAGAAACATATCGATGAAAACGAAGAAAAAGAAGACAAAGAACAATATCCTATTCAAGAGAAAGAACCCGAGATAGAAATCATGAGAAGAAAATGGGAGGAGCAAACGCGAAAGCTTACGGACAAGGTGGACATACATTATCAAGATGTATTATTTGACGAAGCACGAACGCATGGTGTTGGTTACTATATGTTTTCACAAGATGAAGACAAGAGAGTGAAGCAGCAAGAGAACCTAGCAAACTTAAGAAAGGAAACAGAGAAGAAGCAGAAGGAAATGAAAGAAGTCAAGGAATTGAAGGAGAGGTTGGAACAGAATAGACTGAAGGCAGCGAAAATTAGGCAACGTATCAGAGCAGGCTTGTCAGCAGAGCTTACAGAAGAGGAATTGGCCCAAGAAGACAAGTCAACTAATTCAACTGATAATATTAACCCTGATAAAGATGAATCTACTGAGAAAGATAAAGAAAACTCTAAGGAAAAAGTTAACCCTGCATCTGCAAGTATCAATGAATCTACCCAAGAAAATAAGACTAATGATGAAGATAAGATAAGAGCTTTTGGAGAACTTTTAGACAAGAAGAATTATTGGCACGTGATGTCGCAGGAAGAATGGACGGATAAATGTAGATCGCAAAGAATTAGTGAATTTGGGCCAGTTTATGATAACTTTAAAAGTGACAGATTTCACAACAGTTCTCAGAATAGCAATGAACAGTTAACTCGTGAAGAAAACGAAGAACTGGATAACACAGAGATTTGTAATTCCCAAGAATCTATTGAAGAATCTAATAGCAATTTACAAAATCGTGGAAGTAGCAATGATTCTGTCGATAACGAGACAATCCCAATTATAAAAGATATTGATAGCAATGGTCCGAAGGATAAAAACGATTCACCAGAATATAATGCAGTTGATAACTCTCCTGAATCTTCTGAAAATACAATAGAACCAACATTAATCCCTACTGTGACTTTATCCAACTTGTCTCAGAACCAAGCGACAATATCATATCCATTATCTCATCTATCCAATAATTATTCACGAAATGTGTGTGGATACTCTGAGATAAATACGTCTGAACGACAAACTATGGATATCCCTCTTCCGGGTGAAAATAACATTTTACCTTCAGCTTCCAGTGGTGTAACTTACACAAACAAACAAGAATCATTATCACGAGATATAAATGAAGATAACATTATGGCAGGTCTCAAATATTTAAGAAAAAAATTCGAAGCGGGTCATAGTAAATGGACATAATAAAGTATTGTTTATTAATATTATATTAAATGCAATTTTACTGTGTACATAGATAGTAATTTAATTTTATATAAAAACAAATGTATGTAAATATTCAGTTGGTTGCATTTATCTGTCCCAAACAGTCCTGCATAATGAATTAAACAAAGCATCTTACATTAATCTTTATGTCTTCGGTTCAACCTTTTGGTACGACTAGACTGCATCTTCTCATGTACTTCCATCACCTGTATCATGCATCATCAATATCCATGGCACTAGCGTTACTACCTAGAAGTAATATCTTTCGTAATACCTTCCAAATTAAAAAATTTTTTTAAATTTGATTTGGTATATTTAGAAATGTTGTACTGATTATATATAGAAGATTGAAATAAAATACCAATATTTAAACATGATAAGGAAAAATAAAATTTAAAAAAAGAATAAAGTGTTACTAGAAAAATTCTGTCTCGATGTAGAAAATTGACAATTAGGACATCCTAAGCTATTATGATTTCTTGCATAATTCTGCAGGCAATAAACATGTGCAATAGCATCACATTTGTTACATTTGTCACCCTGCAACATGATAAAATATATCATTGCTGTAATATAAGATACACACATTTAATATTTACAAAAACATTACATAAAATAGTTCCTGCTTGCATAAAGTACAAATGTGAAGATTTCCTTCATAAGTGTCTTTAAAATATTGCAATAATTCCGCTATGCTTCTCACTCCCATGTAATATTTGCCATCCTGAAAGATATATATTTTTATATCTTCTTTTAAGAGATACATTATCGGAAGTATATAATGTAAACATTTAGTACCTTGCAACATAACCATTGTCTGTTAACCATTTCAAGTAGAAATTGTTCAGCATCAGTTTTGCTCAGTTTTAGATTTATCGATGGACATAAGTTAAGGCAAAATGTACTTGATACCCAGCCACTGTTCGAAGTAACAATTTCAGAATACACATTTCGCAAGAGAGCTAACTCTGCTTGTGAAAATTCGGAATTGAAGCTGAAACATAAACGTAACTGCAAAGGTTGTATGAAAGTAATACGTTAGCTGACAATATTTAATTAGGTATTACCTAGCAGTTTTGTCTTGCACTGTGTTGGCGAAAATCCAATATAACTCTCCAGTAACTTCGCAATTTATACTTTTTATAGTCATGCATAACGGTCGTAGCTTTGTGTTTATTTCACTTAATATTTGTGCCGTATTATTATGTTCTGAAATTTGACAATAATCCGAAATTCGATTTGTTTTTTTTCATTGTATATTCACCGTATAGAAAAAAATGAATTACTTTGTCAACTTATCATCATACATACTAAATAACCTTATAACTAATTCTTTTCCACGAGCCTCATGCAAAGCACCTTCGTGCATAATAGCTTGCAAAACAGTTTTGTGTTCGTTGCTGTAAGGCATTTTTCGATCAACTCAATTTTTCTTTCAACTTTCGATGAAACAGTGACACAAGAACTCAACAAAACAAACGAAAACGAAAGGCAATTACAAAAATACAAGGGGCGCGTTCAGCGGACCAACAGTTGAATGAGTGCTCTCTGTTATTGGTGTATTCTCCTAGACCTAAAATTCTGATTGGATGATCTAAAAGAATACACAAATAACAGCGAGCGCTCACTCAACTGTCGAGTCCACTGAACGCGCCCGATGGAGCGATGAATTCCCTAAGGCCGGTATTCATATGCCTGGTTTATGCTCTTAATCCTAAAATTCAGCCAATAGAGCTCAAACTTCGGTTAGAACTGGCAACTTTATTGGTTGAATTTTAGGTTCTTGGGTATAAACCAGGCATAAACCAGGCATTAAGCTTCAGGTCTTAATCCCAATATCCTAAAATTCAACCAATAAAGCTGCCAGTTCTAACCGAAATTTGAACTTTATTGGCTGAAATTTAGGATTAAGTCCTTAAGACCGAAGCATAAACTAGAGTCCCTATAATAAGGTGTCTGGCCAATCTTTCTAGTTTGCTAAAACATGGCGTCGTAGATATAGGTGTAGTCAACTGATGTGATACTATAAATATATCGTAAACAGTATATAATCATTATAAATAAATAAAATAACTAATTTTTTAATACATATTGATAAAAGATCACAGCCTGTGTAAAAAGTAAGTGAGATATATATATATATATATAATAGAAAACAAATTATACAAGCATGCTGATATGAGGCATCTTATTGGTTCTTGAGGCTATTTGAGGCATCTTATTGGTTCCGCCATATTTTAGTAACACCAATAGAATTAGTAATGACTTGGCCAGACTCCTTATTATAGGGACTCTAGCATAAACCAGGCAAATAGTCAATTCTTATATTCAAGATCGTCTAAGGCCGGTATTCATAGTCAGTTCTTATTTGAAGACTGTCTTAAGTAATGTCTTCAGACGCGAATGCAGCCATTTGATTGGTTCGTGACATCTTAAGACTGAACTTAAGACGGCCTTGAATATAAGAACTGACTATGGGTCTACGCACAATAGGAGAAATATTAGAAACAGATATTAAATATAAGAATTTTAACCTGTCAGAAAGCGCACATTCCACAGTACACAGTTCTGATAGGTTAAAATTCTCATATTTAATATCTGTTCCTAATATTTCTCCTATTGTGCGCAGACCCTATGAATACCGACCTAAGTACAGTCCATGAAGGAAGATATAAGGAGACTCCACTCGGTCTCGCCAGTCTACAAGACATGAACCCATTTTAGGTTTCGAGTTCCGTTTCCGATTCTCGACACTCGCAGCGCTCGTGAATTTAGTAGTGCTGCGCATAATGAGTGCGAGTAAGAGAAATGATCATTTCTCTTACTCGCACTCATCAGAATCGGAAGCTGAACTCGAAACCTAAAATGGGTCCACTTTTATTTTACGGAGTGGAGTCTCCTTATATCTTACTTCCTGGTACAGTCTTAAAGCCTTGTGTCCACGATACTAGAAATAGGTCCGAGATCTCGAATAAAGGAAAAATTGACCAATTACATTGGTCATGTGACCAAATTGTTCAAATGTGATTTGTTAATTCTTTTTTCATCCGAGATCTCGGATTTCTAGCATTGTGGACACAAGGCTTAAGATGTCACGAACCAATCAAAGGGCTGCATTCGCGTCTTAAGACATTACTTAAGACAGTCTTCAAATACGAACTGACTATGAATACCGGCTTTAAGTCAGTATCGTAAAATTACTAAGAAAAGTCATAAAAATGGCATCGTTTGCAGACGAAATATGAAATCCACCAATCGTCTATTAGTCAGCCATTTTTAATACCAATGAATGAATGTCATGATTGGCTGACAGTCAGCTGATCAGGGCGCGGAACATCGGTTGCGCTTCTCTGATATCTAGGACTCTACTGCCACGGGGTGTGCGAGACGCCGCAGTTGGCAACAATTGGCGACCCTGGCGATGACACGCGTGACGTCAGTCTGTCAGTCGACCATCTCGCATCAAGTTTATGGCGCGTTGTCACTGTCATTTCGCTGTCATCTGCCCTCTCCCACACACACCTATTCCCGATTCCTGTCATCCGTCATTCCCTTGCGGAGCGGATTTCACGATCGCATGCGTATAGCGCGTCACCGCAGCGGCGCGCCGCGAGTGTGTGCCGCTGATATTACCCATCCCACGGTTCGCTCGCGGCCGTCTTGGTGGCGTATATCAGCAGGAGCGTGGAGAGGTGCGATTATATAGGGCGCATAAAACGGCGACGACGCGATGCGTCGTATAGAAATTCACGCACGCCGCGACTGCTGCGTTGACTGAACGCGGTGACGCCGCGAGGGCAAGGCGAAGCGGAGCGCGAGGCGTGGCGAGGTGAGGCGAGGTGAGGTGAGGAACGAGAGAAGCGACCCACGACCCTGAGACCAATACGAGGACGCCCGCGGTTGGCGGTGGTGTGATGCCACACATAAGCGGTGCCGGGAAACGCGCAGCAACGATATAGCAATTTAACAGAAGCTGGCGCCCATCAGCCGGATGGGCTCCCGCGAACGAGAGAGCGATCGGCAGAGGTGAGCGAAGTGCTTGAGAAGCGCACCGCGCGGACATTGGCGACCCCGCGAGGAGATCGCGGTGACTCGCGGCCGGGCTGCTATCGCGGGCGATCTGAAAGGTCGCGGGTTCACGATTGCCCTCCCCGGCCGTCCGGAGAACGATGACAATTCGGCGGTGCGTTTGACGCGGGCGACGACGACGCGGCGGTGGCGACGACGGCGGCGACGACGACGACGGCGGTGGTGGTGGTGGTGGTGGCCCCGGCGGTAATTCTACCTCCCGCAGTGCGCCGGAGGACGACGACGACGACGACGAGTCGCGCGATTCATCCGACGGCCGTCCCCGATCGCCGATCGGTCGTTGCGCTACACGCTCTTTCTACGGACCGGACTTTAAAGCGCCACTAATTAGCGGCGGCGAGAGAGCTGTTATACGAATGTGAGTATCCGCGCGAACCCCCGATCGATGTAAAAAGGATTTTTCTCTCCCTGTTAATATACAGTGTGTGTGTGTGTGGGTGTGCCGTTTTTTGTGACAGATTTACGCGATTACGCGCGAATACGTTGTACGTGGTGTTACACATACATATATATATACGCGCGAGATCCAGAAACGGCGTCAAGATGCCGCTCTTTGGGAAGAAGGACACGAATAAGAAGATCAAGAAGGACGGGAAGGACGACCGATCGCCCTCCGTCGAGGACAAGTACATCCTGAAGGACTGGAAAAGAACCACTGTATACCCCTCCCCCATTTTTTTTCCTCCCTACGTGGCTCCCCCCCCCCCGCCACCCCCTCGAGACACTTGCAGCGGCGAGCCGAGGGAAAACACGTTTTCTCTGACACATGTTTCTCTTTTTTTTTTTTTTAGTACAGCAAAACCGCTCGACACAGCCCTTTCCCGCTTTAGCGGGAAAATATAATCGTCGTCGCGAGTGGATTGTCGCGCGCCGCGATATTTCGCGAGATTGCGGGGCTTATTAGGAATTTAACGGATCGCGCGAACGTCACGGATAAAAAAAAGAAAAAAACCACGTCGTCCCCCTTTCCCCAGATTGATTTGACGCAGTGGTCTCCGCGGATATCGAATTTCCGACTTTAATCGCCATTTACATTTATCGAGGAGCTAATGACACAGACCGAGATCTCAATCTCCGCGTATTTTACTCCGCGGGAAACACACGTCATTCCGCACGTCCGTGAGATGTGCGAAACGTTACGACAAGCACACGTATATATGTGTAAAGTCGCTGATACTTCTTATGCGCTTACGTTTCCGATAAAGATAAACTCCTATCTGCCTCTCGCGGATGCGCGTATTTACGCATTCGTGAGGAATTCTTCTCTCTCGCGTCGATGAAAATCCAAGTTATATTACAGTAAACATATAAAACAAAGATAACGCTTGTTATATTTAAAAAAAAAAAAACAAATGATGATATTAAAAATACGGTATTAAACAGGCGACAAAAAAGATGAGATTCTCATTTTTAAATTTATGGAATAATTTGATAGATATCTAAATCACAAAAATAGGCAAAGGCATATAAGAGTCAAATACAAAATTATAGAAAGCAAATTTATAACATATAATAATACCTTTAATTACAGAGAGTCAAAAATATATATATAAAATATTACCTACTAATTTCTAAAACGCTCGCATGAATATATTAAATTCTAAATTAAAAATAAAACTAGAAAAGCATTACGTTTCGGCTCCGTATTTGGGCCCTCCTCAAATATACAAAAAATTAATAAATTAATTAAACGCAGTAAAATTAACAAAATTAGAACGATAGCGGAGTTGTCGACGGTCATGTTCAACGAACGTTGAGTATTTTCTCAGAGAGAACATAAGAGCTTTGTATTTTTAATATCATCATTTGTTGTTTTTTTTTTTTTTTTCATATTACAGTGTTTTATTTCCACTTTATCACGTTTCTGCATTCGTCTGGACAACAACATAGCGGATTGCACGATAAGGGAAGACGACGTGTATATATCTGTGCGTTATATCTTTCGCGAGAGATCGATCAAGCGTTAGCTTTAACACTTTCATATGCGTCGGCATATCCCGATTCCGCGTGTAACAGATTGCTTACGAGAACAGTTACGTAACCGCGGCGACCGAAGGGGAAGAATGTTGATACATTTACATTCTTTTTTATAACACACTTTTTACTCTAAATTCTTTTGAGCGAAGGACTCATTCAGAGACTGGTATTCATAGTCAGTTCTTTCTTATATCTGAAATAATCCTAAGTACAGTAGATATCAGAAGATCGTATTTACATCTTAAAACGTTACTTAAGACGATTTTAAAGTAAGAACGGTCTGTATGATATCGGCCTTCGAATGAATTTACTCCCAAAAAAATTCAGAGAATATAGCATCGCAAAAGAAACGTGAAATCTTGCTCTTCTCGAGAATAAATTTTTATTTTTTAGGGATCCACTCTAAAAAAAAATCAAAAAACTAAGTACACACGACACGAAACAGCTGTTCAACCATGTTGAAGAGCATAAATAACGATCGAAACTCGAAGGGAGTGATATTCTTCCGGTTCCAATTTGCAAAATGTGAAATCAGGGAAATGTCAGGGAATTAAAAAAATGCGCCAGGAAAATCAGAAAAAGTCAGGGATTCAGCACACTTGTCAGGGAAAATAAAATAGCTGTAAATAAATTTATATATAATTATAATAAGGCTCAATAAATTTAAAAAATAATAAAAAGAAACAGAGCTATGAGCCTAAAAATTCGTTGAATTGTAATATTGATGGTAAATTAATTATGTCATTGTGTTAAATTTTTAACATAATGACATAATTAATTTACCATCAATATTACAATTCAACGAATTTTTAAGCTCATAGCTCTGTTTCTTTTTATTATTTTTTAAATAAATTTATATTTCAAAAAATATTAATAAATATAAATAAACTAATTATGGACTCGTTTTGTTCAAAACAATAAATAAACAATCATAAATTAAAAGACTATAAAGAGTCAACGCAGTTAACAGTGCGAAAATTATTTCAATCTTACAATTAACATGTAGAATACCAGTCGAACGTTTCGGTCTGTGATTTAGTTAAATTTATATTGCCTTGTGCTTCTATGATTGGTTTGGACTACCTTTTTTTTTTTATTTTTGAATTCGTTTCCTCAAGAAAATGTGCATCTACGTTACATTGCTGGATCAACAGAGAATATTTGACATTTTCCGTATTACGATAAAAATACAAGAAACATTGCAAAATATGTATTATTCGAAGTCAGGAAAAATCCCAAAATTTTGTCAGTAAATCAGGGAAATGTCAGAGGAAATGTTACGATTAAAAATTTGTGGCAACCCTGTAATAAAAATGAGCGTCGTTCGAAATTCAGGCGCGATATTATTCTTTCCTCGTTTCCGCGTGCATACATTCCTTTTTCGGTTGCAGAAATGTGATACGAGCATGCATCTCGCGGTGATATCCCAGGATGATCTCTCGCCTGCCCTAAATCCTTGCCTAAATCCGACGAAATTCGTATGACGTGTATGAATACGGCGAGATATCCTTGCAGATTGTCGCGCGTTCCTTTAACCGCAGCTTCCTCCATCGCGATTCGGAAATTGATTTCTAAATGAAAACATCAGGTTTCCATAGCTTTTTCTTAAATAGATTTAATGATTCAAGATGAAGAGTTTCTATTCTGAGAGATTCTAATTCTAAGTGAATTCGGATTTCACGAAAAAAAAAGAATCGATGAGAAAATCTTATTTTACAGCTACACGTAGAAAAATATTATTCTGTTGCTAAAAAAAGTGATTACTCAATTTACTTTTCTTTTAAGTAAAGACAAGATTACGAACGAAAAACAAAAAATTAATTGATAAGAATAATCTTGATGGCTTATAAGAAGTCAAATGCTGTTAACGGTGCGAAATTTATATACAAAAATGTCGAACGTTTCGGTCCCAATGTTTGGACTATCATCAGCGACTTTTTTGAGCAAAGATTAGAAAGTTTAGAAGAACTCATTCGTGTTATTTATTGTTTATTCAAAACAAAAGAATTAATTTTCTTTTGGAGAATATTACAAAATTGATCGAAGGAACGACTTTATATAATAAGCATATCGATTTTGACTAAAAAGATGACCATTAGACGGATTCCATATATTTAATTTTTAATGTTATTTCTAATAATTTGTATATGACTGAAGAGGACTTCTGTGTGAGTCGAAACGTTTCGTAATTTGATTAATTATATTATTTAATAAAGATTGTCCATCTTATATTTCGTGCTTGTTTATAATACCGACATTACAGTATCACATTTTTGTTGTTTTTAAAATTTAACAAGCGTTATTTTAGTATTTATATTTTCATATCGATTTTGTTTTAATTTTTACTAATCTCGATTGAAGTAAATTAGGATTCACGATATGTTTTGAATAAACTCGATACTCGCTGGACTTATGATAGATTTGCAGATATATGAACACCTCTATAAAGTTAGCAACTCTTTTTTTAAAAAATCGACTTTTCGTTAGAGTTCTGATTGCACCCCGAAGAGTTCTGGAGTTCCTGTCTAAAATAAAAAATATTGGGAGTACACAAATTAGTTTCGGTCCGTTTTTTTCTGTTCAAAAATGCAATTTATTTCAAAACAAAATGAATGAACGGATTAATTAAAGTATTGTCCATCGCTGGCTACTACTTTTTCCCATCCCTCAGGCAATTTTCAAATTCCATCTCGAAAAAAATGACTCGTCTTTGGAGGCGATCCAATTTTGGAGCCAATTTTCGATTTTTGCGAAACAAGTGAATCAGTGACTTGCCAAATCGTGCTGCATCCTTCGGAATAACCAGTAATCAGAAGGAGCAATATGTCCGAAGAATACGGCGGGTGCGGTAAAACATCCCGTTTGAGCGTTCCTAAATATTTTTTTCACGACTTTTGCGACACGAGGCCGAGCGTTGTCATGAAGAAAAATAACTTTATCATGTCTTTGCTCGTATTCCGGCCGTTTTTCTCGCAATGCACGGCTCAAACGAATCAATTGTAGCCGATACCGATCGCCCGTAATGGAATCGCCAGGTTTCAGCAGCTCATAGTAAACAACACCCGTTTGGTCCCACCAGATACAGAGCATGATCTTCGAACAATGAATGTTCGGCTTTGGTGTTGATGTTGAGGTCGATGGCAATGATTAACCGGGCTTAGCGTAGTATTTTTTCTTCTTGGGGTTGTAGAATATCCACTTCTCATCTCCAGTCACAATCCGATGCAAAAAACCTTTTCTTTGTTGCCTTTGAATCGGCTGCTCGCAAGTGAAAAATCGCCTTTCAACGTCTCTCGGTTTCAGTTCATAAGGCACCCAATTTCCTTGTTTTTAAATCATTCCCATGGCTCTCAATCGTACAGAAATGGCTCGTTGAGTTACTCCCAATGATTCTGCAAGCTCCTCTTGCGTTTGACTCTCATCTTTTTCGAGTAATGCCTCCAATTCTTTGTCTTCGAATTTTTTTGGCTGTCCAGAGCGAGGCTTGTCTTCAACGCTGAAATCTCCATCCTTGAAACGTCGAAACCATTTCCTACATGATTTATCAGTTGGAGCAGTGTCACCATAAACTTCGACAAGCATTCGATGGGCTTCAGCTGCACTTTTCTTCCAATTAAAGCAGAAAATTAAAACCTCTCGCAAATGCTGCTTGGTTGACACAAAATT